TTAAGAAGGTACAGACGGACAAATGAGATACTGAATGCTCGGTTTGTTTGTATGAAGCAATTAAGCCTGCTTTATACTAGTGTTGTAAAACTATGGTATTTATAGCTTATACTGTTATTGTTATTTATATCGACGCTTGAAAGGCAAACGAGACTAAGCGACAATAACTGCTTTGTACATAAATGATAGGCAATAACCATATTCGATGCGCAAAAAATATATATTTCTAGGTCTATTAAAATCATTTCAATCCTACAGCTACTAGCTAGATTCTACTACAGCGAGATTCGTTAAAAGAAATTTTGTTTTCAGGTATTTCAACTTTTTTTTATTTATTGCTTAGTTGGATGGACGAGCTCACAGCCCACCTGGTGTTAAGTGGTTACTGGAGCCCATAGACATCTACAACGTAAATGCGCCACGCACCTCGAGATATAAGTTCTAAGGTCTCAGTATAGTTACAACGGCTACCCCACCCTTCGTATCGAAACGCATTACTGCTTCACGGAGGAAATAGGCGGGGTGGTGGTACCTACCCGTGCGGACTCACAAGAGGTCCTTCTACTGTAAAGTTCACGCATTGTCGCTTAGTCACGTTTGCCTTTCAAGCGTCGATATTATTAATGTTAAATATGATTAATTCACTTACATAATAATATGTACGATAACGTAAAAGTGTGTTCCTTTTGCTTACGCTTTGGACTTAGCTGATTCGATATTTGTTTCTGAACTTTAGGGAATGGATGTCATCCATGTAACACGTAAATCGGTCTATCCAAGTCTCTGAGTCTGAGTTTTAGAATATTTATAATGTTGTAATTATCATGAGCAAGTAACTAAAGGAAAAAAAAAAGTTTGCAAAGAAAGTATTGTAAGCTCTGATTTTTTTTTTGTTTTTTAAAGCTATTAAAGTTTATATGTAGTTACTTAAAAATAATGTAAGTATCTGAACTCAATCTGAATATGAGAACTTATTCTGAACGCGTGGGGTTTAAATTTTTAGTTTATAATATAAAACTTAGAGATATTGTTAAATGATCACATACATTAAAACAGTAGGATCTATTTTGTCGGTACATAGAGTAAAAGTAATAAAATCATTGGTCTTTATAAGCTCGATTATCGGCAGGCCTGTGAGCGTCTTTACCAGATCAGAGCAACGGGTAGGTGAGCGTCCGCGTGATCTTCTCCCATCAACCAGACGGTTTAGCGGTAGGCAGCGGCTTGCTGAAGTCCATAGGCGACGTAACTACGTGGTGGGCCGTATGCTCGCCTACCTACCTACAAGGGCAATAAAAAAGACCAACTACCATTACTCATTAGCTTTAAAAAAATATATAAATATTGTTAGCTATAAACCAACTTTCTGATTAGCTTGTCGTGGAAGACATTCCTTGAAGAACATTTATTTGAAAAGGCGAAATGTACGCGTCTCAATATATCCTTCAACACGACATCTGCTTGTAATTTCATCGCGTTAATTCGTGTAACTTCGAACTGGACTCTCACCTTTATTTATCATTCTATAAATTCACCGGATATTCGATCTTAAACACCTCACATAAAATTTAAAATGGATTGCATGCTGTAATAGTGTTTGCATGTGTGATATTTTCGTATTTTACATTTGTCTTTTTGAGCAGTAAAATTGTAATTTAATATATTTTACGATGTATTGAAAGGCCGATTACGGTTTTTTTTTGAAGCCTTGGAATTTCAAAGAACTAAAGTGACTAGAATAATTTCTATGATTTATATTATCGTATGTACTAAGATCAATGCAGAAATGCTATTCAGTGGCGCAAGAGCAAGTATCACGCGAATAAATTTAAAATAGCACACAGAAATCGATTCATTTATTTCAGTTAAAGCTATGATTAGATTGTTGAAAAAACGGAAATACTAGTAATAAAATGAGGCGAATCAGTTAGTGTGACACAGACCGTGAATTTAGATAACACTTTTACTGTTCGAAAATTTTCAGTAAAGTTAAAGTCTTTCATATTCTTTCATTTCTTATTCTTTTTTGCCTTTCGCGGTTGAGACGATGGGCCCTTGGGGCCCTGAAGCAAAGATTTTTTTAACAGAAATCTCCAAACGCTTGAAGGAGGTTACACGTGATGCTAAGGCTGGCTGGTACTTTGCACAGAGAGTGAGTCTGGCTGTCCAACGAGGCAACGTAGCCAGTATCTTGGGAACTGTGCCTCCTTCAAGCGCATTGGAAGATCTGTTCTACTATGTGAGTTAATTTATGTTAAATTATTTTGATTTGACTTTTTGTTAATAATAAAATAAATGCTTGAATATAAAAAAAAATCTTTCAATATCTGATTCCAGTGACAAACAAACGCGATAAGCGGTCGATAACTAAACAGTTAATTTTCGATTGTTGATTCAAAAAAACTTTAACCTTATCTGTCTATAGTGTAGATTTTTTTTTATTGCTTAGATGGATGGACGAGCTCACAGCCCACCTGGTGTTAAGTGGTTACTGGAGCCCATAGACATCTACAACGTAAATGCGCCACCCACCTCGAGATATAAGTTCTAAAGTCTCAGTATAGTTACAACGGCTGCCCCGCCCTTCAAACCGAAACGCATTACTGCTTTACGGCGGAAATAGGCGAGGTGGTGGTACCTACCCGTGCGGACTCCCAAGAGGTCCTACCACCAGTGATTACGCAAATTATAATTTTGCGGGTTTGATTTTTATTACACGATGTTATTCCTTCACCGTGGAAGTCAATCGTGAACATTTGTTGAATACGTATTTCATTAGAAAAATTTGTACCCGCCTGCGGGATTCGAACACCGTTGCATCGCTACATACGAATGCACCGGACGTCTTATCCTTTAGGCCACAACGACTTCATTTGATGATAGCTTAGCAAATGAAAATTGTTTTCAACTTAAATTCACGAAGTGGAATGCTTACATAGTTTTATTTTCGATTTTCGTTTTCATAATTAAAAACAATTTTACCGTTTAAATCTCGCGTTATTTATTATCATTATATCGTTTCAGTTATTAAAATAATTGTGAACCGTCTTATTGTTGTTTAAATGCTTATCCATGACACCCGTGGTCGTCCGTCGCCATGATTAAGTACTGTGGAGTATTCGAAATGTCGGAACTAGTGTAAATATAAAATAATTGGAGATTAAGCCGTATAAACAAAATAGTTAACAAAAAAAACGCCTTAAAAAAACCATTCCAAAACAAATTAATATGTATTAATAATTAAAAAAATAATTGCGGGTTCTTCTGTTAATATAACTTAATATGACGATAATGATGTAATTAAGTTACAATGAATGTTATTTTTGGAGTCGGTGTGTCGGCAAAAAGTAACTTTAATTAAGTACAATAATTGTTTAGCGTCAGTTCTAGGTCAGAAATATGTTTTTTTTGTTAATTATTAATACTTTTTTTTATTGCATAGACTTCTACAGCGTAAATGCCGCCGCTCACTTTGAGATATTAGTTCTAAGGTCTCAGTATAGTTACAACGGCTGCCCCATCCTTCAAACCGAAACGCATTACTGCTTCACGGCAGAAATAGGCAGGGTGGTGGTACCTACCCGTGCGGACTCACAAGAGGTCCTACCACCAGTAGAATATATTATATAATATTTAATATATAAATATTTTGTATTACGTCACATTTAGATGTCACAATGTAAATTTTGCCAACAACCTTGACAAGTGAGGTCTAAGTTTCAATTGTATAGGCTGTCCCGCTCATAAAAACGGACCACAGTAATTTTTCACGACATAAATAGGCAGGACGGTGGTCCTTACCTATACAGACTCACGAAACTACCGCCAATAGAAATTTAAATTTTTGTTGATCTGATTTTTATTACACGATGCTAATCGACCATCGTACAAGTTGTTCATGAACAACAGCTAAGTAGATATTTTATTACAAAAATTGGTAGGTGTCTGCAAGATTCGAACACCGGCACTGTCGCGTCCTACAGTATACCGGGCGTCTTATCCTTTAGGCCAAGACGACTTTGATAATTCTGCATGTATTCGGATGGATGTGCTCATCTGTATCATCAGCATTAGCCGCGATATCTAAGACATTTACTCTTTAACCTGTCGCCACCTTGTATTCCTGTCGATTTTTAAAACATAAATACAAATTCAATCCCAATAATATTTATGTATCCTGCGCGCCATTAGCATTCGCGTTTTACTCATTTCACTAAATACAAAACTGTCGTGTCGTAAATTCATATTTTAATGTTTCCTGGCATTGTAAATTTGCTGCCGATGTTGCCACATTAAAAATTAATAGCCGTTTCCAAACTATTTTGCAGCGGACAACACTCGCGCCGCCGCCGAGAAGGAAACGGAAACATCTATTATATCATGTGGGAAACATGAAAATTTTTATGAAAATTTGAATATGAGGAAACTATAAAACGCTTTGATTTACGTGTGACGAGCGCCGGACAGATTGGTCTAATCTATTAAAATAACTTTTTTTTTAATATATATAATTTTTTAATGCGATCATTTCGTAACGGAAGCCATGTATCATCTGACAAGAAAACACTGCGGTTATTTTATTGTTGGTATATTTTATTAGCCCATTTCCCGAGTGCAATCATGTGTGTGTAAGCACTTTTAAGAACATTAGCATGTCTTAATATTTTATCGAGTAACGAAATTAACGCTTTAAGATAAACAGAGCACGTTTCAAAGTAGAAGACAGAACCGACTGAATTTAACTATCGTATATTCAGGAAAATGATCTCTAAGCACATTCCAAGAAAACTCTAAATCATATATCTATCTGATCTATCACATCAGTAGCTATACTGAGATTTTAGAACTTATATCTCAAGGTGGGTAGCGCATTTACGTTGTTGATGTCTATGGGCTCCAGTAACCACTTAACACCAGGTGGGCTGGTCCACCCATATAAGCAATAAAAAAAAAATTGACATCTTTCGCACTTAAGACTAAACGATATTTCTCTTCAACAGTCAAAGACCATCTGCAACACTCTGATATCGACGGAGACGATGTGGAAACCGACGACCAGACATCGAACATGGACGACGACATCCTTACGCAGTCAGACCTCGACGAGAACGGAGATCCAAAAAGCCCTAACAGTTCCTCCTCGAAGAAAAGCAAGAGTCAAAGCAGGGACGCTAAAGGCGGCACCAAACCGAGGAGAGCCAGAACCGCCTTCACATACGAGCAACTCGTGTCCTTGGAGAATAAATTTAAGACAACCAGATACTTATCGGTTTGTGAGAGGCTCAACTTAGCGCTAAGTTTGAGTTTGACCGAGACACAGGTGAGTTTTCGAAGGTACCTTATGGTTCACGTGAAGCTATGTTAAAAGCGATCATTTCAATATTACAGTGCCCGACGATAAATACCCCACATCGAACTTTGGAAAGAGACAATCGGCGAACTTCGGGTTCGTAGAGCGCTATCTCTGTCGCACGAAACACTAATACTCCGGTATCTGTTCACACTACCGCAGTGGTTTATCAACTCACAAACATCACATTACTAGTGTGCGACAATGATAATTTATCTCTTTCTAAACACCGAAGTGCAATATTTATCGACGGGTACTGTATGTAGTTTACTTTGACCGTATCTTAAATATCACAGAATGCATGATAAATGCTTATTAATAAAATATTGTCTTATCAGTTTCGTGCGTACAGATACTATGTAAAAACTTTTCCTTGAAACAAAGCCAGCAGTGATTGGGGCTTCGCAGCGATAAGCATTGCTACAACGGCTTGCAATTTGAGAATGACCTTCTATACATTAGGTCGTTTCTTTTCCCTTAGATTGGTGAACATCTTCATGACCTCCCTAATGTTGAGTGGCTATCGGAGCTCATCAACAACGCAAATGTCAGGACCCACGTTAAGATATGAGTTCGAGTCATAATAAATAGAGTAGCGATGCTACCTACCGGCACGACACAACCTCGCACCAGCAAATACGTTATGACCGAAGATTTTCACTATCAAACAGTATACTTACACGATTATCGGAATAATAATGGTGAAAGCAACACGTCACTTGACGGAAGCAGGCCAGACCTAATCGTTAGTTGCCTAAGGGGCTAATCCAACTTCACCCGGCCCGGTAGGTGAGCTCACGGGCTCAACCTGAGAGAATTGCTAACATTAGCTCTAGCAAGAGCAATGCTTCGATGAATCTACTACTGGACCGGAATCGCGACCTACCGAGAGGATCCGCGAAGAAACTCAGTAGGTTTGTCTATGAGTTAGTTCGCACGTTGAACTCTACATCGGAATCCATGAGATCGACGAAGACGGTGACCAGTGCTTGAAGAGCCTAAAATCACCGAGAGTGGATCCGGGGGGATTCGACATAAAATATTAGAACACTCAAGCGACCTAAAGTGGAAATCGTCATAATATCAAAATATCAGACTAATTGCCCAAAGTAGTCCGACATTTGCGAAAAATAAATGATGACAGATGCTTAAAAAAAAATATGTATCCAAATATGTATGTATGTGTCCAGATATACTTCTGATACAATAGGCAACCTGGCCGTCCTGAGTAGCTAACACAATTCTTCATCGTGTTTAAGTTCATAGACAATCTTATATTTTATAGCATAACGGAACGTTGCTTAGTGTTATTTAAAAAGTTGAACCTTGCTCGTGGCTGTAACGCTTGTGAAACTTTTGCCCATGATCATAAAATTCTCGCGGCAATCATTTCAGTATAGCGGCCCGTAAATATATTATGTTCCCGTTGAAACCGTGAACGTCTGTCGCAGCGTATCTTTTATTTATTTTTCCGCTCCTGTTTGTATATCTCGTAAATTACTTAATGTTTAATAGTCATAAACTAGGATGATAGATGAGGGGGGCCAATATGGATGGTTCCCCGTTAATTTATCGGTTATTAACGAGGGGTTAATGTATTTTTGAATCGTGCAGGTTGGCTTATTACGAGTATTGAGACTAGTGGTCCCGCAGTAGTCGAAATTCGACTATAATTAATTGAAATTATAAGTTTGAACATTACTATGGTTCTATTGTCAAAGACTATTTATTATACTTCTATAATCACAGATTTCGCCAAGATTACACTTTAGACAAATATTAACAAAGACAAACAATATTTCATCTATTTTCAATTTGACCACAGACGTCAAGGACAAAAGTTTGATAATAAATAGTATGCATGCGTGTGTGCGTCAAATACATGGTATGTAGTGTGTGTAATGTTTTCTATATTGATTTAATGTATTTTTTATGCATTGTTTTAAAAAAATATTAGCATTGTGCACTCCTTCTCTATATTCTCTATAAGTGTGGGAAATTTTATGCTCCTCCGTCCGCGCAATTTTCGTAAAAAGGGGTACAAAGTTTTTGGTTTTTGGTTCACATAATAATATATAGATGTAAAAAAATCGTAATATTAGTGAGTTTTAAAATACAAAAGTTAAATTAAATATTTTTGTTCGCAGGTCAAAATATGGTTCCAAAACCGTCGAACAAAGTGGAAGAAGCAAAATCCTGGGATGGACGTGAATAGTCCGACTGTCCCGCCCCCTCCAGCTGGAGGGTTCCCTTCGGGTCATTATCCTGGGGGGCTATTATACTCTCATGGAGTTCCATACCCGTTCACAGGCCCTGGGCCCTACGCTCCATACTTCCACCACCTCGCGGCCAATCATCACCACACACATGGAAGCCTAGGGCATTCTCACACGTGATTGTGGCAGCGCCCAGGGTCCCAGGATCCTAGGGTTGACAAAGACAACGAAAGTAGTTGCGGACTTCCTAATTAGTGCAACGAATAAGAATTCGGAGCTGTGGAATATTTATTTATGGCAATAGTTTAAGCGGACTCATGTGAAAAGATAATGTTGTCTATGGAGAAAAATCGAGAGGCAGTTGCAAGAGTATAAAAATTAGAATATATTAATTTACAGATTAATCAAACCATTTCAAAATAATTCATTAAATGTTAAGACTGATGTTCATTTAAGACAGCTGTGCGATTTTAAGATGATCTTGAAAAAAAATTCCTTTACCATTTTTAAACTATAGTCTACAGTTTCGTCTGAAATCTGAAATACCACTCGGACACTAAGCGATGTGTCACACAGAAGAATATGCTATGAAAATTATAACTATATTTGTTAGGTCATCGAAACAACAAAGTGCCAAATACACATTATTTTTCAATGAGAACATTTAAATGAGTTATAAAAACACGTAATGGAAATCATCGTAAATAAAGTTTTTGTCTTTATCTTATTTAGATTCTAATCTATGCCGTCGTAATACGTAAGTTTGGAAAATAACTAAAATTGTGATATTTATTCATTAAGATATGAACGAAATTTGTATTAATTTAATAATAAGTAATTTTGTTTTTGTGATTTAAAATAAAAAAAAAGTTTTCATTATTTCGTTCCTTCTGTCGGCCATTTTAAAAATAAAATGGCGCCCACATAATCGCCGCCCCTTAAATCAGGTTTGCGTATAAAGAATTTTATGTTCAGAAATTTGAATGTATTCCGTGGCAAAGAGGTCAAAAGCGTTTATTCAATAGGATAATTCTCATACGGAAACTTAATGGAGAAACGTGATGTTTGTGCAAAAGTCAGCTGCTCTATATTCTCAATACACACACTACGAGTATTCTATAGGTATCCTAACGGGTTCCAACCACGAGTTTCCTATTTAATGAGTTCAGGATATTTCTTTACTGTATTTTTTTAATTCCCTACCTATTCACTGGCAGCCTAAGTTCCAGCTATGCGCGGACAGAGGGCCACTGTCCTTTTTTTTTTCCTACCTGTGCTGATAGCCTTGAGAGGCTATTTCAGCTTCGCCCTAACGTTTGTAGGTGAGCTCACGGGGCTCAAACCGGGGAGTTGCTAACACTGACCCTACCAAGAGCAGTACTTCGCAGAATCTACCACCGGATCGGAATCGCGACCCACGGAGAAGATCCGGCGAGAAACTCAGTGGGCTAGTCACTGTCCTCGTGATCGTGATCTGTATGGAATTGGAACAGCTTCCCTTCGTTTGCCGCTAGGGGCGCTGTTCCAACCCCATACAAATTTCAGTTAACTTTAACGCGATCGAGAAGTTAAAAAACTCTCACTAAGCACACAGGGCGGGAAAATATCAAAGAAGAGAACTCATCAAATGTGTGAAATCGTGGTATGAACCGGTTAAATATTAAAAGGTGTTCTGTATATAGGCGCTTAAGCTTACAATTAATTAATTAAACCTGAATACATCGTGACATCGCTTACAAATGGCACAAGCATTTTTAATACACGCATTTTTAATTTGTTGTTTTATATGATGTAATTTTTTGTTTGTGTAATTTATTTATCTAATTTGATTTAATTTATTTAAATTCATTAGCGGTCTGTCAGTGTACTCATGACCGAGGCGTTTGCAAATTTCAAAATATTGAAAAGATATTGCAACTAAAAATAATGGTAAGAATTAATTACCTACCCAGTGATGTTAATAATGAAATATGTAAAACAAAAACACCACTATAATTTTGCTTTGACACTGATTTGTTTATCTTTCGATTTTTTTTTTATTATTGAAAAATTAGCCTTTAATTGATGGGCACGTAGACTGCGAAAATGCAAATATCTAGATTATTGCCTGGTTTTATACCAATCCAATATACCTATATAATATACAAAATCAATCCCATTTCATTTTATCACGGAACACACTTTAGAAGCTGTTTAATAATAATTTTAACTCTCTCTCTCTCTCTCTTCGATCGGTTCCTCACTGCTGAGGATCGTGACTCCGTCCGATTTCGTCAATCAACTGTCTCCATCCATCCCGCCCTGCAGCCCGGTGGAGTGCGTCGCTGATAGGTATCCCCAGTTCCTCCGCTATTTGGTCCGACCATCGTTTGGGACCTCTACCCCTAGGCCTTTTTCCTTCTATTTTACCGGGATTATATATTTTTATTATATAATTTTAACTAGGCCAACCAATTTGTTTAATTTTGATTTAATTTGAATTATATTATTTAACGAATTTTAGCGACTCATTTCTAGGAATGGCTTTTTTTTAACTAAGTTGGTTCAAGGTGTATTTTTCTTAGTAATCCCGCACATGATTTACTCATAATTTCCTTGCCTGTACAGACTAAACGGAATCATGCTTGGTCATTCTATGCGCATAAATAACACAAGTAGCCTGTGCATATAAAAATATAATAAAGTACCTGAGTTCTACTTGAATAGAATCAATTTAAATCCAAAGCACTGAAGTATGAAACCTATGATCCGAAGCCATCGTTGACTTATAACTCGAACTGTCAATGTTACTAAAAGGACGGTATGTCTTTGATAATAATTATTATAGAAGCAAAGGGATTTACATTAATTTAGACGTCACCACTGCCCCATAAAGCAAGATGGAGTATTTTTTTGTACGTAAGTTTTTTTATGACTTTTTGAAATTATGGGAATCCCTAGTCTAGACTATGTAGGTATAGGCTGTGTGCAGTTGCAAAAACGTTTAGATCAATTACTAAATCACGGCTTTCTGTATAAATATGACACCTTTCTTAATATTTTTTAAGTTTTATTTTTTTAATGATGTCTACAGTGGCCAAACCTGGTAAATATTAGGTATTCAAATTCTATTATCTATCAAGTTTTGTTTACTTTCGAGGCACACTCAATCATTCAATATCAAAATCAGATTTAAAAACGTTTTCTAATATTACACTTTACAATATTGTCACAGTGTCATTTAGTATGTAGAAGACATACGAATAGTTTTAAATAAATACTTTATTCTGCAGAGTGCTTCTATTGTTTATGGATCTGCTCTTCTATTGTCTCTGGATTTTCTAAGCTGTCAAGTCATCTTCACTTCACTGTTTATGTCAAATACAAAATGTAAAAATGTATTAGCGACTCTCTTCTTTTATTAGTATCAGTCGCTGTTAACCTCATAACGGTTGTAAATATGTAAATAATTTAGCTATAAAAACCTATGTAATTAATCTTATTACTGTTTAAGTATTCGCTGATGTGATGCTCAATGCTGTAAATATGTATTTAAGTAGCGATAACTTGATGTTGATAAAAATAGTTTCAAGTTTATGGTTGTTTTATTATTTGGGTATCAGTACTTCAAAACCAAACCTAAGTAAATTGTGTAAGTCTTAATAACTTATAAATTCTGTAATTTAAGACGTGAAAAATTACAAGATTTTACATATTTGCCTGTTGGCTATCTGGATCAATATGCCAATAGAGTTTAGTATCTGAACACCCATAGATGTAAGCCTCCATAAAAAGCAAGAAAACCTTGTATTATATGGAGACAAGTTGAAAAAAAAGCCTGCTATAAGCAGCATATTATCTATTATTGCAGCATGTTATCCTTAGAAACCCTCAAAAATAGCGCAGCGTAGCAAATTGTATGATGCAAATGTAGCAGTTCTCAACGAAATCAAGTGTATCGAGTTGAAGAATTTAATATAATAAGTTTTGGCGCTATAATTGAAATGACATCACTAGCTACGGTGGCGCCGCCTTAATTAGTCAGTTTTTCAGACACTTTTTTTAGAGTCTGCTCCTTACTTCTATCCTCCATACGAATACAACGATCGACTGAGATGTATAGAGATTAGGAAGATGAAAAATCCCTTAATTAAAGTAAAGACGGAAATAAACGAACTATTTGGAATTATTGTTGGTAGAAACGAGCTTAAGCCATTTAGAGCATTGAGAAAGCTACGATCAGAAAGTAAATTAATATGAACAAAATAAAAGGCGAACAAAACAAAAAAAGACTAATCAACATCTTTTTTTTTATTGCTTAGATGGGTGGGCGAGCTCACAGACCACCTGGTGTTAAGTGGTTACTGGAGCCCATAGACATTCACAACGTAAATGCGCCACCCACCTTGAATTATTAGTACTAAAGTCTCAAGTATAGTTACAACGGCTTCCCCACCCTTCAAACCGAAACGCATTACTGCTTCACGGCAGAAATAGGCAGGGTAGTGGGACCTACCCGCGCGGACTCACAAGAGGTCCTACCACCAGTAAACAGGACAGGAATTCTCCATCGATATTCATGTTGTAATTTGGAACATTCCAGCAATTATTATTTGAGTACTGTTACGTCATATTGCCATTGGTGAACTAGACGTCGCCTAATGTCCTAAAGGAAAATGCGCTCGGTCTATTTGCATCGAGCGATGCGCCCGCATAAATCTTGGTGGTAAAGCGTATACGGGCACGCTCGGGTAGCCAACCAGCCTTTCTTCCACAATCGTTCTCACGTCTATACAATAACAATAAAAAATTCAAATGTCATTTTTGGTTCATCAATACAATGGACAGATCAGATAAATTCATAGATTATTAATTTTACGAAAAATGAAGATGTTGTTTTATTGGCTTAGATGAACGTACGAACTGACGGCCCACCTGATGTTAAGTGGTTATCGGAGTCCATAGACATCAAAAATGTAAGTGCCACTTTAGGTATACGACAAAGGGAAGATCTTCCACCAAGCGGGTGATATTGCTCGGTATACCGACGGTCTGATTTTTTTTTCCTACCTAAGCAAATGACCTAAGGTCTTGAGAGACCATATCGGCGTAACCGGGCTAGTAGGTGAGCTCCTGGGGCTCAAACTTGACGAACCCTAGCAAGAGCACTATTTGGCAGAGGAAACCCACTGAGAAGATTT